AATCATATGTCATGGAATGGTACCATGACAAATATCAACACGTAGAATTGAGGAGAATAGCGTGTGAGTACATTCATTCCCTTAGGGCGCTACAATTTTTATATCGATTATATGTCCTAGATTAAGTTATTGCAAGGGAGCCTACACGAATTATATATAGGAAGCCTAAGATTTCATCCAATAATTACTTAGTTCTACTGTGGAATAAAGAAAGGACGACGGGGAATGAGAAACAGGTGGATATGATTGGGTTTAGATTCACGTAGGGAGCGCAAACATGGACGGAAAGAGGAGACAGGCATACCCCCTCTGCGTGTGAACTATAACTGCTTGTTACATAACAATAAATAAGAGGTCTATTCTGGCTTCTATGTGAGTACCCGAATTAGGGTGGATTCTATGGGGGACATTTTAGTTAGAAAATGAAACAGTATAGCAGTGAAATTATAAATTTATGCTAATGGCAGGAATATGAAACAACTGGAACTTATAATTGCGCGTAAAAACAGTCACCTAACATATATTTAATCATATTCTGCAAAAATAAAGGATGTTCAGGATGTTTATTCTATTTTACTGCTATAATTGCTAAATCGTTAGAAGATTATAGAAAGCGTCTTAATAAGGACATACAGGACTAGAAGGAATATGGGATATGCATCGGATGATACCACATGTTTATTCTAATGTAACAATTATATGTTCATGAATATAAATAATTTAACAGTCTTATGGAATAGGGGCGTATAAGGGACATCAATAACTATTGCAATGGGTGATAAATAGAAACAGGCGGCCAAGAAAGAAATAAAAGACACATAGCCGGATCAATACCGAAAGAAACAAAGACTAAGTGAAGAATTCAATATTTTAGATGTGTTCCATTTTGCGCTGCAGGTTCAAATATCCTGCAATGTTTGTTTTGTAAGTGCGGTTAATTTTTTTACATCGTTCAAAGAGAAAGACAAGGAACCGAAGCCTTCATGGAAAACATTCCAGGGATGTTTTTCTCCCATAAATAAATTTTTCATATGCTTTCTTTATCAAGGATGTTTGTATTCATTATATTTGAAGATAGGAATGCATCAATATATAGTGAAAATCTTCTCTATATTAAAAATCATTAGATATTTCTCCATTGCATTATGATGCAACAGGAGGCCAATGGACAAATTCGGGAAATAGTCCGGGAAGGGGGCTTACTGCATATTGTATATAACCTTGCTTCTTCGGCATTTTCATCTATACATGGTGATCACAGGAGTATATATATGCATATGTGAATTTATGTACATATACACGTGAGGATTATAGAATTATCATTAAGTACATACCAAAATTATCTATATTCTGAGAAATAGCGATAAACCGGTTGGGATACCTTGATGTCCCCGAACACGTGTTATACGCCGTAGCAATGCGCCTTTTTAGAATGTAATATTAATTTTGTCCATTGGGTAGAGTTTACAATGAAATCCTATTCAAATGCTTCTGTCACTGATTTTTAGGTTATTTTTCTTGTGGCTTCGTAGTTTTTTTTTTCTTGCTCTGTGTTCTTCTATAGTAACGTCGTGATTTTTCTGTGTGTATTTTTTAAAGGTCAAAAATGCTTTGGAAAAGAAACTGCCTGAGTAGCAACCCAAATTCAAAAGGATTAATCCTTCTATAGTCTTGAACTAAGGACTATGGTATAATGAATAGTCAGATACTGTTACACAGAGTATTCAGAGTAGGGGCAGCATATAGTACGGTTACAAGTACTAGGATAAGAAAAATAAATAAGACAATACCATTAAGAAGGGAGAGGTGCAAAGCATCATGGTTACCTGTTGTTACAAAAATGGTCTCTGCAGGTGTGTAAGTAAAGGCAGTTATCCCAATCTCTTTACGGAAGACATGGATGAATCCAGTTACCCCCTATGTTATAAGACCGGAAATTTAGCAGTAGAATTACAAAAACAAGTATGCAGGAATGAATGCTAAACTAAACTTACGCGCACCCTATTGCACAAATAGAGGATTGAGTAGATTTGCCTCGAGGGTTGTGCAGGAATGGATGATTCATTGGAATGAGAAAGAAGGTATGAAACGTGGAAAAAATCACTGTATAAGTAATAATTAAATAATCGATTGCATAATTCTTTTTTATAAAGGAATAAAATTCATTCACGTGGATATCCTATTTTCTAGAGTAATATAGATAGTGAAAGAAGCAGGATTAGAAAATACAGATGGTATTCGGATATGGATGTAATAGTCGTATATATTAATGCATAGATTATATAGTAGTAAGAGAAAGTTCCACTTCCTGATGAAGTAATAAACTGAATAAAGAGAAATAGCCATATGAATCCAACTAATTACACCTCATTAAGGATAATATGGTATACCCGTAAACTGATCTGTAGGAAGCCATTATATATTAGTGTGTAGCACACGGCGTGACCTAAAAGGTAACGAAGTGTAACTCGAGCAATAGTCGCTGAGTATATATGGATCAGATGAAATATATGCTATTACAAGGATAAAAAACGAATGACAAGGGGTCATTTGGACAGTGCAACATTGTGCACGAAATCATGACATGAAGGAAATATGTTAAATAGTTGATAACGAATAAATTTCAAAGGAGTAATACATATAAGGGATCTGAGTCAGTAAATGAAGGTGCGTTCTAAATGTGTATAGACTAAGAACATTATAAGGAGAAGGATAAAATAATGATCGTAGATTACAGAGGAAGTATAAAGGCAGTAAAAGGCGGATGAGAAAAATATGATGAAAGCTAAAATAATATAGGAAATATATGAATATTTATAATAGTCTATCCAGACCAAAGTAATATAAGTCACACTGAATACTAAAAGAGTCAGGAAGAATAGGAAACAACAGAAATTAAAAGGGTTTATTGTATTCGCTGCACTAAGATGTAATATCCTATAATGGCTTCTTGTGATTTTATACCTACAGTTATATAAGAGTTTTAAATAAGTTTCTTTAGATTTCTGTTGAACTATAGCAGATATTATAATAGTTATCTTGTCCAACAAACGAAGAAGCGGAATTTCTGTGGGAAATATAGGAGGCCATAGAGAAGGTAGCTATAATGACCTTAGAGTATTCTGTCTCATTGTATCCTATAATATAACTAAGCAAGTATTCATTGTGAAAGGATAAATCAAATTTGATAACAACTTTGTCCTAAAAATTATGGAGCCTATCGTATATCTATTGTAGCTTAAATTAAGCAGCTAAGGATTAGGATTTATCAATAGGCTGTACCGAAATGGTTCAATGTGCAGTTTACTCCCTTTCTACCTGCCTAACAGAAAGAGACATTGAGACAAGAGTTTATCGTCTTAAAGGACTCTCTAAGATATGTCTATGAGAGGTCGTCTGACAAATGGGCGCAAGTATTGGAGAATACTGAGGAACATCCACTGTTATATGAATTCCCCCAAGTGAACCTGACTTACGAAAGATTGATATAAACAAGTCACAACTATATAATGGAAGCTAAGAGGACAAATTATATTATTAAGAATAATAACAATAAAGATACGAACGTCTAGGTGCCTGAAACAATAAAGAGAATTACTGAAGGAGATAGGATGCATGGGAGCAGATAAGGAATAATCACAAATTAGATATTATTGGAAGATATATATAGAAAGAAGGGCACCACAGTAGGAGAAAGAAAATGATTGAAGGTATCACCTCCAAACCCAGAAGTCCAGTGCAGGCATAATGGTTGAGGAAAACCAAAAAGAACGGGAGGGAAGTACTACATATCAAATAAGAAACCCAAATAAGGACAGATATTCCTAAAGAAAGACTAAGCAGAAGGTATTTCGTGAGAAGAAGTTCTTAGCAGGAGAAATCCATCAAGAAGTAGAGGACTAATTCCCAGTCTGTAAGTAGTATCTGAAAAATAAAGTCCTTTTGATGTCAAGATTAACAGGAAGAGAAGAAATAACTAAGCCAATGAAAAACTCTCCCTAGCGGCAACATAACTGCAGGTTGAAAATATCCCTAATAAACAACAGGGGAGCATATATAAAGAAGAGGAATTTAAAACAAGTCTATCGGGAATTACACGAATACCCCGGATAATGAGATCCAAAGTAAAAGCAAACCATCCGAACAACTTCAAATCCAAAGGCGACTTCCAAGTGAACGATGATAGAAGGAGACGAAGAGAAACCAAGCTAATAAGCATTCCTTTAAGAGGGAGGGACACCCTACAACAACAGTAGAAAAAATGAACATAATGATATGGAGGGGGGATAACGACGAAAGATGAATAGAAACCCCTAAAAAACCAGACCCACACAAGAAAATTACTATCATAGAATCGAAAAAGTGGGCGAAGCAGCAGATTAGGGTCAGTACGTGCCAGTAATGAACATTTGTCGTTCAGGGTGATTAACACGTCCCAATCAGCAAATGTATTGATGGATCAAACCCAGAATTTCCCCATTCCCCCATTAAATCGGACCAGGTGGAAAATCAGAACCCCCACGAGCGAGACTCTAGCAGGCAAGAATCCCAAAGGAGAAGCGCGATCTATTTAATAAGAGGATGAGACTAAGGAAGTGTACAAACAAAGAACACGTCAAGGAAGAAGTGACAACCTACCCTTACATACATAGAGAAAAAAGAGTCTACTATCCACGGAACCTTATCTAAGTGTGGATTAGCCTACCCTATGACAAAATCCCGCGGAATTAAGCAAGCATTCTCACTAATACTTATCCAGACACCGGGGCTATCTACCCTCTTAAGGGTAGCCATTGAAATGGACTATATCAACCAAGATGATATGGAGAAGGTTCAGGAAGGGAACAGCCCAGACGTAGCAGAAAAGAGCGCACTACTCACTAAGAATGACACGTGCCGTCATAGGAGCGTGTATTCCTCACAACGGAGAAAATGAATGCGTCGAGAAGGTGATTAAGGTGAGATAAAATAACAGGAATCCAGAAGCAGAACAATTCCCAAGCCTGTAAGAGAAACTACTTAGCCTAATGAGCAGTATCGACGAAATATGAGTCCCCCCCCCCGGGACTACAGGTAAGATTCGGGTATATGAAGGATAATCAACTAACAACAAGAAAAGATGGACGCAACCATTAACGAAGCCCCAAATGCAAATAAACTCCCTCCTTCTAATAAGCCTTAAGTAATAATAAAGTGAGTACCCTGCCAAAAACAAATCACTAAGCAACAACTCTCCCTCAAAAAACTGAATGACGACAACTCTCAATCCAGTTCATATCCCACCACAATAGGATGGCCCGAACCCTGACAGATACGCAATGGCTGCCCCCCTTCCACAGTATACACCAAAAATACCTTAAAAAATCCCGCCCCCACTCATACCATAACTACAGAGGCCAAAAGGCCAAATAATTTGTTTCCGGCTAAACCCCCCAACCCAAACCGCGGGGTATTGAAGGAATGAATAACGAAAACAAAGAAGCCAACAAACTCGCAACAATCAACAGCCGAAATAGGAGGAACCGGTAAGATAAATCTGAGTAAAAATAAATAGTGAGAAAATTTCCCTCCCGAAAAGTCAGTAATCCCCCCCAGAGAAGGGATTAAACATAACCCAAAGGGTTCCAACGAAATAGGCAAAGGGACAAGAATCGTAAATAACGGACAAAAAAGAGAGATTACAAAAGCCAGGCGAAATACGGGAGAATTCGAAAGCATTCCATGGGAAGGGATTGACCAGAGATCCTCTGAACAAAGTTAAAGGTCTACAAGGAAGGTGCAGGGGAGAAAATTATAGGGATGACACAGGCTAAGAATGAAAATTGGCAATTGAATGATTGGGGAAAGGAAAAAGATAACTGGGGCTATACCCCCTCTCCGGGAAATAGCTGTCAGAAGAATTCAAGACCCCGATATTGTTATCCGGAATTAATCAAGAAAGGAACAAGCAGATGGGATGGTCTGAGTGAATGGTTGAAGGAAAAAATATTACAAACCGTTACTTCCAAATGGCCAGAGAATTTCAACCCAGATGTGGGCACCGGCATAAAGGATAGTGATAGAAAACCCTTCAACTGGGGTCAAGTGCTCCATACAATAATGAATCAGATCCAAACCGATATGATAGCAGATGTGGACGAGCACAGCACCAGCCGGTTATGGGGCAACGGGGAGTGGTACACAATCTTACAACCAGACAGTAGTCTAGAGAAGCCATGGGACAAAAGTGAGGTCGGTCAAAAACTTCTGATGACAATAGTATGCATCTTAACAGGGTTGACAAGTTCAAGGACGGAGGAGGAGGTGAGATATCCTGGGAGGGGACACTTATGTGGCCAACTGGACCAGGCTTTAATGGTAGATAAAGATAAGTGGAAAAGATGGTTGGGGAATCCCCAAAAACTATCGCGGGAAAAAAAATATGAATGTAAACACCAGGAAGATTCTGAAGGATGTAAAACTGCAGGTATGAGTTTAGTATTAACAGTATATAGAAGTTTGGCTAGTCTTTGTACCAAGTGTGGGCCTTATAGCATAGCTCGATGGGTTAATACTAGTTTAACTGAAGGAATAGACCAGGGAGAGTGGTATTGTGAAGTTATCGGGCGGGTAATGAAGTGTGGTAAGTCATCCAAGCGAGATTGGAATATAAATGATTTAAGAATGGCCCCAATACAGGCAGAAACACTAGTCTCGCAGGGTAGTGAACCCCACCAAGGAAACAGTGAGCAAGGGTCGGACGCAAGAGTAGAAGCACCCAATCTAACATCGTCAGCACAGATTGAGTCACCCTTTCCCACTGCTACCCAAAGCGACAGGGGCTCCACGGAACAGAACCCCCCACCGCAGGCTGATGATCTGCCTAAGACTATTGCCGGCTCTCAAGTTGGGGGGGGTAAATCAGCTTCCTTCCAACACCCAGGAAGAGTCGAACAACATCAGATGAATGCGGACGAATCATCCCGGCCAGAAAATGTTCCTTCGAAAAATGAAGACTCCGGCGATCCGGGACACGGGGGGCCTCCCCAAAAGGCAGACCTCGGGCGGCCTAATACTCTAAACTCCGATTCAGGAACCTCAAGTGGACACGGGGACGTCTCTAGGATTCTTAAACCGGCAGGACAGGAAGGTGCCGGTATCCCTCCCCTAGTGGGGGGAGCAGTGGCTGGTGTCGTAGCAGTTATATTACTGGGATTGGCCAGCGCCTATGGAATATTTCGGATTTACAGAGGAGGAAAGAGGGCTAGATCGCGGAGGGACAGAATCAATATTTCGGTCGTTCCTGTTTCGGCGTAGAATACGGTTCAGGTTTCCGCTCAGGATTAAGGTTTAGGGTTGGGAAATGATCTATACTATCATAACCTTCTCCCGTAAATAACTTGAAACCGTCATCTACAACCTTGAACCCCCACCTAAGTCTGCAACTGGGTGCACTAAGGGGTTATGTCCAACCTAAGATAACCTTCCTTCCATATGTTAGTTATCCCCCAAAGAATATGTTATGTGTTCAACTGGGTCCATATTTAGTCTACATTGTGTTAGAATGTGTATCCTCTTCCGTTTTATTAGTCTATTTGTCCTTCCATTATTAGTGATTCCACCCATGTATGGTTGTTAGAGGACTTAAATTGACCCAAGTGGGATAGTCAATAGAAACATTCTAAGAGCATAATTATAAAGGAGGAAGCGTCTTAGACAAGAAAGAATTGATCTATGAGTAAGTCTATCGAATGAACCTCCTTTGACGTGGTCTGTGTTGGGAAGTCCATTCCTTCTAAGGAGTGGTACCTAGGAAGTGACCCATAGAGAACCAGAACATGTTGGATTTCGGACTTAGAGGAGTTGTTGTTTTATCATCTTGTTTTGCTTTGTCCTATCGGAAAAAAGGGGACACCCTGTGATTTAAAACATTTCGATATAATGCAGGGGTTACCATAATATATATATATATATATGCTGGTAGGATGAAACAGGGATGCTGACAAAATCGGTGGTATCCTCTCTGATGGGTTATATGATGATTACTACTTAGGGAAAGAAAGGCCTGTACCTAAGATACCATATTTCTAAATGTTCCTCTTCTGTCTCAAATTTGACGGATTCCGTTTCGCAATGATATAACCAGAAAGTTCCTTCTCTTTCCATCCTACTAAGAATGCCCTCAATTCTATCAGTAAAACATACATTAATTGTTCTCTCATTGGAGCAATAGATATGTCCAAAAAATAGCATAACTTCTATTTATGTTGGTAAATGAAGTATAGGATGCTGCGTAATTACAACATTACGGCAGACTGATCTGATATGTACGTAGTGGACATCCTGGTCTTCGAGAATGCTGTGATACTTATATCTGCTTGCTCTGTTTTTTTCTCTACTGTAAACTCATGATTTTCTCTCTAAGGATATTTTATCAGTGTGTGATTCCTATTGCCGTGTCTTCAGTGGGTTGTGCCCTGTCTCGTACCGAAGCGTCCGGATGGGGGAGAGCATTTTATGTAAATTTCCTGTTTCTACGTGTCTTATAGGACAGTCTGCCCTAATGTAATAGGTGCAGGGGTATACAGAATGCGATATGTCATGTTTATCATTAAGGAGAACAAATGGACAGTAATCTTGTCCCACTTGTTGCGTATGTGTCTAGGCTGTTATGTATAAGGAGTATTTAAGAGGACAAACAAGTGGACTACTCTCAGGATCCTTCTAAGGGGATTATTACAAATAGGAAATTATGAATTCAGCATTTGGACATTTTTTCTCCCTTGTATGTTACGGAAAATTTATCTACCCCCACATTGAAGACGAGTGGGGCATACAATCGTAGATGAAACGTTTCGCGGGGTTCAGATATGTTTCCCCCATGATGAATCGCAATTCGTGAGCTGCCTTTGACATGTGTTTCGCATTGCAATTGTGCCAAACAGTGGGGTTGATTATCTTCCTAATTTGTTAACTATTTCACATACCTCGTGTCCGTGTCTTTAGAAGGACGTGCCCCCTCTGTTTTCCGGGTAGGAGATCCTCGAATGTCTCTGTACTCTGTATTTATCAAAGTTTTCTCAGGTCATGTCACTTTAACCCATTCGTATGAAGACCATTCCAATGTAACATGTAGGTATGTGTGTCATATTTCAGCCCTCAAACTGTTCTGCTTAAGCTACGTCATTATCATGGTGGTGAGCCCCCTTGTGTTATTGTTCGTTTGCCTCTTCCTATATGAGGCATGTAAATCTTTGTGGTTTATACTCAGCGTTTTTTTTTTCTTTTTGAAATTCCCAAGAAATTTCTGTGTGTATCTGCTATATTTGAGGACGGTTCCATATTTTGCTCGTTCAAACAGTTTCCTATGTGGCCGCTCATGTATAACTTCATGTTTTGTGAATACTATTGCTCCTTACATTCATCCGGAAGCATCATGAATAGTGGTATGAACACTTCCGTATGTAGTCCCTCATCTGTAAGTACACACACTTCGTGGTTATGCACCTCCCGTTTTTCTTTTATGGCATCCCGTTCCTGACGTGTTATTGGTTGTCTCATATATCACATTCTCGGGTGTTTCCTTCTGGTAAAGCTTGATAACTTTATCAGACAAACTATCTGGAATTTACTGTTTCATACGTATGTTTTGTTTGGAGACCTAATTGCTACATACACTCCCTCGCCTTTGCAGGACAAGAGTATGTCGTTCCTGGTTAAATTGATTGGTTGTAGATATTACAATTTCCTGAACGCATTGTTCTTCTGTTGTGCGACCTTGCCGTAATCTGTGGAATTAATTGTTCTCTTTCAACATATCAAAAATATACCAGTATTTATGTTCCAAACTAT